GAAACAATTATTTAAATTAATACATGAAAAAAATTACACATGTTTGTTAATAATCATTGTCATTAACAAACACTTATAACCAGGACTACAGCATATATCAATACATGTTTAATAATGTTGTAAATATATTAATATATATATTATTCATTGTATTTCCAATGGAAAACGGACCCAACACGCGTCGACGGAACAAATAGGATTGTTTCTATTTCGTCCGTCCGCGTCCGTTGCACCCTCCGTTGATGGAATCCGGATGTTGGAGGCAGTGGAGCCACTTCCATTCACCCTCATGGAAATAACGGAGACGGAGATGAAACGGACATGTTTGGACGGATCCGTCGTCCGTATCTCCATGAGGGTGAATGGAAGTGGCTCCACTGCCTCCGCATGCGTCCGTCCAACGCACGTCGGACGTATTCCGTCAACGGAGGGAGCAACGGACGCGGACGGACGAAATAGAAACAATCCTATTTGTTCCGTCGACGAGTGTCGGGTCCGTTTTCCATTGAAAATACAATGGAATAATATATTGATATATGCTGTAGTCCTTGGTTATAAGTATTTGTTAATGACAATGATTATTAACAAACATGTGTAATTTTTTTCATGTATTAATTTAAATCATTGTTTCCTGATCGTACATCTACCATTTATTTGTCGCATTATGTTAATACGTTAATCTTTACACACATCTCGCTCTGTCCCATGGATCTATTATAATAACTGGATAGGGTATTACAGCTTGTAGCTGAATAACTCATGTGCTCGGGGGATTCTCGCGGTACTGCAGACTAAACCAGACTAAATTCACGTGGGCTACCCAGAAATTTTCCCCATCGAACTCAATGCATATTAAAACAGCTCAACCTCAGCTGAAAGAGAACCTACAGCTTTCATAAAGGTCGGATTTTGTGGGGATTTTAGTGTCCCTTGTCATCCTGAACGTTTACATCCACACTTTAGTGCCACAAACTCTGCTCGTCTGGCTCTCGCTCTAACTCCCGCTCTGATGAACTGCTCTGATTGGTCAGAGCGCGGCCGAGCCCCTCTGTGCACGTGCGTGAGACCCGGTGTGAGACCCACACACGCGTGTTTAACGCAACGCATTATGGGAGATAATACACTGCGCAGAACCGGGAGGACCAGACGATGCCCAAATACAGGCGACTTTCCCATAGATCTTTGAGAGTTCCAGGCGACTTCCGCTAATCTTTCAGCCCCCATGCCGTCACAAAGCGCCACTGAGCACAACCATTCATTTGAATAGGGCGCCATCTTGGATCGCCGGGGCTTGCTCTGTCCCCTCTACCTGCGAGGCGCTCTCTCCGCGCACACACACACACACACACACACAGGATATGTTAGAGTTCTTTTCTCTCTCCCCTTTTTCCAATTGCTTTCAATAAGTTTTGCTTCATCCATCGCGACGTCCTCAATGCTTCAATATGCTGTGCTTTGCACTGATCATAGCCACAGCTCATTCAAATCACACACCGCTTCTTCTATTTAAAACTATAGCGGCTGCCTGTTGCCTAAAGCCGCGGAGAGGCGAGTTGGGTCTGATAAAAGTGTATGACGCGCTAAATAAGTATAGAAAACAAACGAAGAGGCTGGATCATAATAATCGCTGCGGTCACAGGCCCAAACACACATGCACGCACACACACGCGCCTCCCACCACACACACACACAGGCGCTCTCACGCACACGCACACATGTACGCCGACAACACATGACTCCTCCATCAGCCAAACATTCATTTATTCACACAATGCCCAAACGTGTCTCCTACAAAAACAAAGCAGGCTGATAAACGCACAGCCAGAGCTGCTGCTGCTGCAGCCGGTTTGACCACTAGTCTTTTTTATGGACGTCCGACGGACAGCAGCCAACGCGCGTCAACGGAGACGCGCCCGGTGGAGTCCAGGCCTCAGTTTAGTCCTCCGAGACCGCGGCTCCTGCCGTCCTGTCTCCCTCCAACAGCGCGCAAGTGTGTGCGTGCGTATGAGTGTGTGCGTTGTCACTAAAGCCTAAATTATACTCGCGCGGCGTGGAGCTTACGGAGGTGACGTGACGTCACTTGCGCAACGCGTTGGTCACCGCAAGGCCCTTACGTCGCCTGCCGCGCAGCATCGAAATCTTCTAACTACGTAAGGGTCGTCGCAAGGAATCTCCGCTGTGATTGGTCCGTGTGTGTGTATTGGAAGGAAGCACGGAGCGGCTGCAGCAGGAGCATGGACGAGGCACTATGGAGCAGAGAGCTTTGTGCTTCAAAGGAAAAGCAGTTTGGGCTCAGAGCCTGATATACAGGAGACAGTGGACTATCTAACATATATATAACTTATATCTAACATATATATAACTTATATCTAACATATATATAACATATATACACTCGTAAATCGTTCATGTTTGTCTCAGATATTTACCACTATTATTGTTTTGCTGTTTGTGCTGAAAACTATTTAATAATAACTATGTTTCCAACAGAACTGTGTCTTTATTCACAGGATCACAGTTGAAATGACTTATAAAATAATGAATCCATAAAACTATCACATAAACCTACAGTAGAAACACGTGTAATGAGCTCAAACAGCTTTGTTTGTTATTGTTGTTCTGAAGAGGACAAAGTAGCAGCGTAAATGGGACCGCTCCTGTGTGATCGCCCTCATGTGGTTTGTTGTGGGATTACAACATTCTCCTCAAAACTCCGTAAGGGGAACGCGCCAGTATAACATCAATTGTGCTTACGTAGGTCCACCGCAACCGCTAACGTAAGCCACGCCGCGCAAGTATACACTAGGCTTTACTACGTAAGGGTCGCCGCAAGGAAGCTCCGCTGTGATTGGTCCGTGTGTGTGTATTGGAAGGAAGCACGGAGCGGCTGCAGCAGGAGCATGGACGAGGCACTATGGAGCAGAGAGCTTTGTGCTTCGAAGGAAAAGCAGTTTGGGCTCAGAGCCTGATATACAGGAGACTGTGGACTATCTAACATATATATAACTTATATCTAACATATATATAACTTATATCTAACATATATGTAACTTATATCTAACATATATATAACTTATATCTAACATATATATAACTTATATCCAAGGGCGTAGGTTTGCGTGGGGACCATGGGGACATGTCCCCACCAATATTTGGTGAGGACTAAAAAGTCCCCACCAAAATGACATGATGTCCCGTGACCCGGACAGTCCGGGACACATGTCTTCCGTTTGTGCACACGTCGCGCCTCCTCCTCGCCTCCAGAGCAACAACAGCAGCAGCAGCACGTGACCCGTTCCGTTCTCTGCAGTGATTGGCTGTCTTCTTCAGCGCCAAACTGAAGCACTGAGCGACTGTTTAATTTTTAAAACTTAGCCAGCATGAAGCAAGTGTTTTCTTTCGTTTCGTTGTAGCACGTGAGTAATCAGAGGAAAGTACTGTAGATCTATTACCATTCAAAGTACTTACGTTATTTCTAATCTGTCAGCGCACTGTTTAATGTTCCGAGGAGCTCACACGGCACAGAGACAGAACAGAACTGGCTCCAATAAAGAAACAGGTTGGTTGAAAGGCTGAAAAAATACTTATTGTGCTCTTACTATCCAAAATGTATAAGTGGGTGTGTTGTGTGAATCAGGATAAACTAGGGATGAAAATATTCCACGGATCCACAATTTACAACCTTTATCTGCTATAATGTAATTTCTGTGAAATGTGTGACAGCGGGCACTTGCTGTTATTTGCTCTAAGCACATTCAAGCGATGCACTCGAATGTGCACGTCCTGGTGCAGCTGCTGCCGCTTTGTAATGACAGCCGCGGCGCTCAGTGAAAGCACAGCTCTAACATGGTACCGAGCTCGGACCATATGCAGACAGAACCATGTTGCAAGTGCGGGTCTCCCTCGTATCTCCCGCGTTTCTCCCCTGTGTCTCTGACATGTCTCTCCCCTGACTCTTCCCAAAGCGCAACCAGCGCTCCCGAAATTAAAGCTCGGATACCTACATTTTCCATTGCGTTAACGATGCATGCTGGTTGTGCGCAAAACACACCACAACAGGTCATTTAAGTTTTTATTTTGCATACTTGAGAGCCCTGTGAGTCATTACTTGCCTTTTTGGGTTGAGAGTGGAATAAAAAAAAGAAAATATAGAAAAATCCACACTGTTACTTATTGCCAAACTCTTGTTAACTCATTGTATTGAGAAATACTATGTAACTTTTGACATTGGCCAAGTTATATAAATGATTCTGCAGTTCATGTATATGAATGTCTTTTTTTGATTGTCTATACCAGGGGTCACCAAATGGCGGACCGCGGTCCAGGTCCGGACCCCGAGACCCTTTTATCTGGACCTCCGTGTTTTTTTTTTGTACAAAAGTATATTATTACAATTATGTGAGGAGCAGCGAGGAGGAGCGACACAGAGGTACACATCAAAAACATATTAAAAGCATTAACAAACAGCGTATGCCCTACTTAAGTGCTCACTGAGTGCAGTGGATTTCTGGCATAAAAAGCCTTGTTGTGGTCAGAGTGTGTGTAGAGGAGGAAGAGGAGGTCAGAGTGTGTGTAGAGGAGGAGGAGGAGGTCAGAGTGTGAGGAGGAGGAGGAGGTCAGAGTGTGAGGAGGAGGAGGAGGTCAGAGTGTGAGGAGGAGGAGGAGGTCAGAGTGTGAGGAGGAGGAGGAGGTCAGAGTGTGAGGAGGAGGAGGAGGAGGAGGTCAGAGTGTGAGGAGGAGGAGGAGGTCAGAGTGTGAGGAGGAGGAGGAGGTCAGAGTGTGAGGAGGAGGAGGAGGTCAGAGTGTGAGGAGGAGGAGGAGGAGGAGGTCAGAGTGTGTGTAGAGGAGGAGGAGGTCAGAGTGTGTGTAGAGGAGGAGGAGGTCAGAGTGTGTGTAGAGGAGGAGGAGGTCAGAGTGTGAGGAGGAGGAGGAGGTCAGAGTGTGAGGAGGAGGTCAGAGTGTGAGGAGGAGGAGGATGTCAGAGTGTGAGGAGGAGGAGGATGTCAGAGTGTGAGGAGGAGGAGGATGTCAGAGTGTGTGTAGAGGAGGAGGAGGTTAGAGTGTGTGTAGAGGAGGAGGAGGAGGTCAGAGTGTGTGTAGAGGAGGAGGAGGTCAGAGTGTGTGTAGAGGAGGAGGAGGTCAGAGTGTGAGGAGGAGGAGGAGGTCAGAGTGTGTGTAGAGGAGGAGGAGGTCAGAGTGTGAGGAGGAGGAGGAGGTCAGAGTGTGTGTAGAGGAGGAGGAGGAGGTCAGAGTGTGTGTAGAGGAGGAGGAGGAGGTCAGAGTGTGTGTAGAGGAGGAGGAGGTCAGAGTGTGAGGAGGAGGAGGAGGTCAGAGTGTGTGTAGAGGAGGTCAGAGTGTGTGTAGAGGAGGTCAGAGTGTGTGTAGAGGAGGTCAGAGTGTGTGTAGAGGAGGTCAGAGTGTGTGTAGAGGAGGAGGAGGTCAGAGTGTGAGGAGGAGGAGGAGGTCAGAGTGTGTGTAGAGGAGGAGGAGGTCAGAGTGTGAGGAGGAGGAGGAGGTCAGAGTGTGTGTAGAGGAGGAGGAGGTCAGAGTGTGAGGAGGAGGAGGAGGTCAGAGTGTGTGTAGAGGAGGAGGAGGTCAGAGTGTGAGGAGGAGGAGGAGGTCAGAGTGTGTGTAGAGGAGGAGGATGAGGTCAGAGTGTGTGTAGAGGAGGAGGAGGAGGTCAGAGTGTGTGTAGAGGAGGAGGAGGTCAGAGTGTGAGGAGGAGGAGGAGGTCAGAGTGTGAGGAGGAGGAGGAGGTCAGAGTGTGTGTAGAGGAGGTCAGAGTGTGTGTAGAGGAGGTCAGAGTGTGTGTAGAGGAGGTCAGAGTGTGTGTAGAGGAGGAGGAGGTCAGAGTGTGTGTAGAGGAGGAGGAGGAGGTCAGAGTGTGTGTAGAGGAGGAGGAGGTCAGAGTGTGAGGAGGAGGAGGAGGAGGTCAGAGTGTGAGGAGGAGGTCAGAGTGTGTGGAGGAGGAGGAGGTCAGAGTGTGAGGAGGAGGAGGAGGTCAGAGTGTGAGGAGGAGGAGGAGGTCAGAGTGTGAGGAGGAGGAGGATGTCAGAGTGTGTGTAGAGGAGGAGGAGGTTAGAGTGTGTGTAGAGGAGGAGGAGGAGGTCAGAGTGTGTGTAGAGGAGGAGGAGGAGGTCAGAGTGTGTGTAGAGGAGGAGGAGGAGGTCAGAGTGTGTGTAGAGGAGGAGGAGGAGGTCAGAGTGTGTGTAGAGGAGGTCAGAGTGTGTGTAGAGGAGGAGGAGGAGGTCAGAGTGTGAGGAGGAGGAGGTCAGAGTGTGAGGAGGAGGAGGTCAGAGTGTGAGGAGGAGGAGGTCAGAGTGTGAGGAGGAGGAGGTCAGAGTGTGAGGAGGAGGAGGTCAGAGTGTGAGGAGGAGGAGGTCAGAGTGTGAGGAGGAGGAGGTCAGAGTGTGAGGAGGAGGAGGTCAGAGTGTGTGGAGGAGGAGGAGGAGGTCAGAGTGTGTGGAGGAGGAGGAGGAGGTCAGAGTGTGAGAGGAGGAGGAGGAGGTCAGAGTGTGAGGAGGAGGAGGAGGTCAGAGTGTGAGGAGGAGGAGGAGGTCAGAGTGTGAGGAGGAGGAGGAGGTCAGAGTGTGAGGAGGAGGTCAGAGTGTGAGGAGGAGGTCAGAGTGTGAGGAGGAGGTCAGAGTGTGAGGAGGAGGTCAGAGTGTGAGGGAGGAGGTCAGAGTGTGAGGAGGAGGAGGAGGTCAGAGTGTGAGGAGGAGGTCAGAGTGTGAGGAGGAGGAGGAGGTCAGAGTGTGAGGAGGAGGAGGAGGTCAGAGTGTAGGAGGAGGAGGAGGTCGAGGAGGAGGAGGAGGTCAGAGTGTGAGGAGGAGGAGGAGGTCAGAGTGTGAGGAGGAGGAGGAGGGTCAGAGTGTGAGGAGGAGGAGGAGGTCAGAGTGTGAGGAGGAGGAGGGAGGTCAGAGTGTGAGGAGGAGGAGGTCAGAGTGTGAGGAGGAGGAGGGTCAGAGTGTGAGGAGGAGGAGGTCAGAGTGTGAGGAGGAGGAGGTCAGAGTGTGAGGAGGAGGAGGAGGTCAGAGTGTGTGTAGAGGAGGAGGAGGTCAGAGTGTGAGGAGGAGGAGGAGGTCAGAGTGTGTGTAGAGGAGGAGGAGGTCAGCGAGTGTGTATAGAGGAGGAGGAGGAGGTCAGAGTGTGAGGAGGAGGAGGAGGTCAGAGTGTGAGGAGGAGGAGGTCAGAGTGTGGATCCCCTGATCCTCCACAATAATCATGTGTTGCAGCCTCTGCTCTGAGAGTCTGGGAGAGGTTTGTGTTGTGTAGAAATAAACAAAGTACATTGCTGTTATGTGTGAATTATACACATCTATATTTAGATTGTATTTTTTTCAAATAGTTCTTACTACTATAGTCGTTGTTTAAGGTTGAAGCTTGAATGGATTTATATGAAATAAAATATTTGTCTGATGTCCGGACCCTGATCTATTGACTAATCAAGTAGGTGGACCTCGTGCCAATTTAATTGGGGACCCCTGGTCTATACCTTCTTATATAATTTAGAAAACATGCCACCTCCACAAAAAAAGATAAAAGATATCAGGAGCTTTTTTAACAGTTGGAAAGTAAGTAAGAGAAAGCACAAGTAATAGCAAATTATGAATTGTGATGATTAATCTTCTGTTAACATACATAACTGCTTCTCATTCAGTCTACAGCTGAGTTTAGTATAGAAGGCAACACACTATTGCAAATATAGTGTGTGATTACACAACAAATTCTGGGGGAGAAACTCTGGACCCCGTGTCAATGGGTGTAGACTCAGGTCGTAGTGAATGTCCCCACCAAGATTGGAACCAAACCTACACCATTGCTTATATCTAACATATATATAACTTAGGGCTGGGCGATAAAACGATAACGATATATATCGCGATAGACATGTGTTCGATATCAATAGAGAATGGGGTCGATAGAATGTTCGATAGTTTAACTTAACTCCGTCAGGAAAAACAGGAAGAAAACACCGGAAGTAAAGCCGACTCATAAGCGCATGGCATTGTGGGGGATGTAGGCGGAGGCTTCTCGACCAATAACAGCCGAGCAGGAACCGCAAAACTTTGTGGGAAATGCAAAAACAACAACAACCGCAGCATGCGTGGCGTCCATGGATCTATAGCTCGTGCGTTTCAATGCTGTGTCAATGGTTATACACGTACGTGCGACTTTTTCCTCGGGAAGCATCCGTGCGGCATACAGAGAGCCACACGGAGCGGCCACGGGGACACAAGACCCTCAAACAGCTATAATTAAACCATATATATAACATATATATAACTTATATTTATTTACTCAATATATATCGTTATTGACCGATATGAATGACTTATATCTAACATATCGCCCATATAACTTATATCTATATATTAACTTATATCTAACATAACTAACATATATATATAACGTATATCTAACATATATAAACTTATATCTAACATATATATAACTTATATCTAACATATATATAACTTATATCTAACATATATATAACTTATATCTAACATATATATAACTTATATCTAACATATATATAACTTATATCTAACATATATATAACTTATACCTAACATATATATAACTTATATCTAACATATATACACTCGTAAATCGTTCATGTTTGTCTCAGATATTTACCACTATTATTGTTTTGCTGTTTGTGCTGAAAACTATTTAATAATAACTATGTTTCCAACAGAACTGTGTCTTTATTCACAGCATCACAGTTGAAATGACTTATAAAATAATGAATCCATAAAACTATCACATAAACCTACAGTAGAAACACTAGGCTTAAGGCCTGCACACTTAAACATTCCTTCCTTCCCATCACTGTAAACTACAGACTTAAAACATGGATTCAAAAGGCTCTGACTTGTACATTTGCATTTGTAACAACATAAATAACATTTTAATTTGGATATTCAAAGTTTTCTAATATTAAAAACCGAAATCATGCAGAGTGTAAAAACGTGACCCACCTCCTCAGACGCTAGACAAAGGCCCAGTCCCAATACCCACACTGCACCCTACGCCCTCCTATGAAGTGTGCATTTGTTTGAAGTGCGCGCAAGGATTTTGACTGACTGAGCGAGGCGCATGCGCAGACTGACGGAGGCTGCTGCTTTATCTGTTTTTTTAATGGCGGGCTAAGAATCAATATTGCCGTATACTGCCACCTACTGAATCGGAGTGTTATACTCCATGCCTTTGGACCAATGTTACAGTCTATTTATCATTTTTGTTGAAGTTAGAAAATAAAATAATGCCCTCTCTTGATTAAACCCCTCTCCCAAAATACCCTCCATGCTCCACTACTGAGGGAGGCTCTGGGGCGCAGCGAAGGAAACGAGAAGGGTCTGTCTGCGGCTTGCAGTACGGAGGCGTGTCGAGTAGTAGGCGTGTCGGGTAGTGACGTCACTACTCGACACGCCCACTCCGCGTGTATGAGCATGGATCTATTATAATACGGGTATGAGTAGTAGGCAAGGCAAGGCAAGTTTATTTGTATAGCACAATTCATACACAAGGCAACTCAAAGTGCTGAACAAGATAGCATTAAAATCATAAATAATTACAGAACATTAAAACGAAAGATAAAAATATAAAATCCCTCAGTTGTATGCACAGCTAAACAGCACCGTTTTTAACCTGGTTTTAAACATTGTCAGAGAGGAGGCCTGTCTCACATCTTCAGGAAGATTGTTCCAGATTTTAGCAGCATGAATCTGAAAAGCAGCCTCCCCATGTTTAGTTCTGACTCTGGACACTAACAGGAGTCCAGTCCCTGTGCTCCTCAGAGTCCGGGCTGGTTCATATGGGACTAACATGTCACTAATATATTTTGGTGCGAGGCCATGGAGAGACTTGTACACAAGCAGAGCTGTTTTAAAGTCTATTCTCTGAGCCACAGGAAGCCAGTGCAGAGACCTGAGGACCGGACTAATATGGTCGTACTTCCTGGTTCTAGTCAGGACTCGAGCTGCTGCATTTTGAATGTACTGCAGCTGTTTTACAGCCTGTTTGGACAGACCTGTGAGCAGGCCATTGCAGTAGTCTAACCTACTGGAGACAAATGCATGGATAAGAATCTCCAGGTCTGCTTTAGACACTAGCACTCAGATAGTAGTGAGCAGGGCTGGACTGGGACAAAAAAACGGCCCGGGCATTTTTTCCTTTTTAGCGGCCCAGGCAACTCAAAAGGTTCAAGGAGCCATATATGACAAAAAAAACTAAAAACAACATCTGTCTGGAGCCGCAAAAAAAAAAAAAAAACAGCGTTGTATAAGGCTTTTATGAAGGTGACAGGAGCTGAAGCTGTATTAGCTACATTAGCTACATTAGCTACCTTAACTACCTTAACTACATTAGCTATATTAGCTATTTAGCCTAATACAGTATCTAAATGACAAAGTAAAGGCTACAAACACATAAAAACCATTCATGATTATCAAATGTGTATTTTCATTGCAGCGTGTCCTGGAGAGAATGACGCACCACGTGACAACTCTGCTTTAAGTTTAACTTCAATTTTTTTGCCTTCATGCAATTGTACAAATACAGTAAATACATCTGCTTTTTGGCTCCGAGTTCACATACCTGCATCACTGTCTGTTCATATCCATCACATCACAGGCTGAAGTTTGCTGGAGCTGAATGTCCTTAATGGCCTTTTCTTTCACCGTCTTTGCGAAGGTATTTGAAGTCTGAAAATAGGTGCTCTGACTTTATGATGAATGAATCAGTGTGTAAAGCTTCATTGTTCCTCCTATTGCAACAAAACTTTTCATTACATCGCAAACATGAAGCAGTCCTTCCTCATTTACTGAAAGCAAATGTTCATTCTCATTCTTAGTCCAGTCTTAGCGACTGTCTCTCTGTATCTTTGGGATCCATGCGCACACACAGTCTATGATGCGCACACGCCGGTTTGTTTACAGCAGCGGCCGCCTGGCGCGGGCCGCGTCACAGGATATGACGCACTACGTTGACAGAAATGCTAAAATTGAATAATACTTATACAAGTTTTTGCAGCATTGAAAAAATGTTAAGAATGTTGTTCCTCCTACAGAAACCACATTGAAACTAGAAATAGAATATAGCCCTCCCACTCCATTTTCAGACATTTTTGAAAAGGCTCCAAGAGCCACTTTAGGGGCACTAAAGGTTGCCGACCCCTGGTTTATACAGTATGTGGAAGCATACTGAGGATCAGGATGTCTGTGGTTTCAACAATAAAATAAAGTACAATAGTCTACAGTAAACAGAGTAATAAACATGTCTCAGAGTGAGGGAGGTGGGCACAGACAATACTATTGTTTGTTACAGGGATGAGAATTGGTAAACATTTCTGAAATGCATTTTGTCAGCCATTAGCTAGCTCTAAATCTGTTTAATCTGTTCACAACATTTTACTTTTGGGCTCAAACATGAATTTTTAATGCAATGGAAAATGTAGGTACCCGAGCTTTAATTTAGAGGAGAGGGGAGACGCGGACTGTTTTCTGCAGCGGTGTATTTATTGGGTGCACAAATTACGAAAAGACATGCATGGTCCTGTGCGCGTTTATGGTCTTGGGTACATGGGCACGTTGCGGCTACGCGCTCGCCATGTTGTGTTGTGAGCGGTTCCTGCGTCCAGCTCAGAGCCGCTGGATGCTTGCCTGGCCTGCCAAACGATATGCTTTTTCAAAGACATATAGTCTGGGAAGGAGCTTGATCTCAGCGAATTCCCGGTGGGCGTGGTTGACAGACTGCATCAACCAATTAGATGCACACAGGATATGACGCAGCAACTAGCGGCACCCAAGCCGTTTCAGTAAACACAAAACAAGGGATGGCGGCATGTCAGCTAGTGCAAATGTAAACGACTGCTGTCGATTTTGTAACAAAAACTTAAAGATACGAGGAGTTATTAGCAACTCAAAGGTGAAAGGAAGTCCCGCCTCTCGGTGCGTGATTGGACCGATGTGGGTAAAATCGTGAAATGATAGGCTAGGAAGAGGTGTCCAGACGGTTCTTCTTTTGAACAGAAAGGAGGAGTGTCTGGCAGGCCAGGCAAGCTGGATGCGGGAACACTGCGTCCAGCTCAGAGCCGCTGGATGCGGGAACACTGCGGCCGATGAGGTGGTGGAATCCCGTTCGAGTACATACAGCAGGTGCCCCGCGGATACGCGCGCCCCTCAAACATTTCTCAACGGATTTACACTTTTCACAAACATGTTTTTTGTATGAGGCAGACAGACCGGCCCAAATATGGGCATCGGCCCTTCGGGCATTGCCCGGTACGCCCGATGGCCAGTCCAGCACTGCAGTGAGTACTATCTATGCCCAATGAATTTATGCGCAATAATGAATTTTATGGCGCATGTCATTGTCAATATTAATTATATAATTAATATTGCCCCAGTCCTGGGTCTACAGTCTCAGTCCTGGATCTATTGTGCTAACTCAGGACCATAACTTTACATGTGTCTATCTTCCCCTAGTCACCTTCTTCATGAGACCCCAGTGAGTCTAAGTCTCGGTCTCTGTCTCGGTCTCGTACCGCTCTGTGTGAGCAGGGGCGTGCAGGGCAGGGCGGGGTTCTCGTAGGAGGGGTGGGCTCCCGGGGGGATGGCGGGGACTGCGAAGCTCTTCAGCGGGTGTGCGTGTGCGTGCACCGGGCGCAGAGGGGCCAGGCTGCCGCTATAGCTGCCCTCCTCCTCCGTGGTGCTGCCGTGGTAGCTCCCCTCCGGGTCCACCGTGATCTCCGAGGGACAGGAGAGCTGCGAGGAGAGCTGCGAGGAGAGCTGCGAGGAGAGCTGCGAGGAGAGCTGCTGCGAGGAGAGCTGCGAGGAGAGCTGCGAGGAGGCCGGGGGAGGGGCGTCCGAGCACGGCGTGTTCCTCACCGACTCTGAGGGAGACAAGAGGGTCACGTTATAGATGCCACAACACTACTATGGAACCAGGTGTGCAAGAAGGAGGGGGGAAGGGAGACGAGAACCATGTGGCACTATAGATGCCACCACACTAAGGAAGGAAGGGAGACGAGAACCATGTGGCACTATAGATGCTACGACACTAAGGAAGGAAGGGAGACGAGAACCATGTGGCACTATAGATGCTACGACACTAAGGAAGGAAGGGAGACGAGAACCATGTGGCACTATAGATGCTACGACACTAAGGAAGGAAGGGAGACGAGAACCATGTGGCACTATAGATGCTACGACACTAAGGAAGGAAGAGAGACCAGAACCATGTGGCACTATAGATGCTACGACACTAAGGAAGGAAGGGAGACGAGAACCATCCCACTAAGCAAGCCGACGTTGAATCAACGTAATTTGAACGTCGTTGTCCGACGTAGAATATAGGTCACTGGTGGGTGCAGAATGAAAGTTTTCTCGACGTCGTTTCTTGACGTTGTTTCCCGACGTCACCTCAACCTCCAAATGTTACGTTGATGGCACGTCAATTCAAGGTTTGAATGTGGTACGGAACCGGTCGGGTCTGACGTCCTATCAACGTCTTATATGACCAAAATATTGACGTTTATATGACGTTCGTTTTCAGTCGTTCCCACTAAGCAAGCAGATGTCAAAACTATGTCATTTCAACGTCATCTGGACGTTCATTCAAGGTTGCAATGTGGTACAGAACCGGTCGGGTCCGACGTCCTCTCGACGTCTTATATGACCAAAATATTGACGTTTATATGACGTCCATTTACAGTCCTATTGACCTACTTAACCTCTGCAGAATCACTCACTGTTCGAGACATACTTTTTGCAATAGGCAAGGCAAGTTTATTTGTATAGCACAGTCAAAACAAAAGGAAACTCAAAGCACTGAACAAAAGATAGAAACAATCAAACAAGGCATTACAATTATAAATATTGACAGTAAATTAAAAAGATACAAATAAAATCTCTCATAAAATCTTTCAGTTGAAGCAGAAACAGAAGTGTTTTAAACCTGGATTTTAACATAGTCAAAGAAGAAGCCTGTCTCACATTTCCAGGAAGACCGTTCCAGATTTTAGCCTTGTGAATCTGAAATGCAGCTATATCATGTTTAGTTCTGACTCTGGGCAATAAACGATAAACACAGCATTCAAAAATCATTAGAACAACTGTAGTAGAAGGATATCAGTCATTATTGCAAATGGAGCTGCATTAAAAATCATGTTTCTCTACATCAATGTACAAGTTAAAGCACACAGGGCACAGTGTTATGAACACTACTGTACTGAACAGTTCATGCCAAAGTAAAAAAACAAGATTGTAGCGCCTATGTTTGGATCAGTATTAAACAGGCACAAGCTACACTCTAGGTTCCCCAGATGTAAAAACACAATCTGAAAGGCAGAAGAATGCATTTATTGAATGTTGATGTTCCAACATGTGTCCTCTCTTGGTCTTCAGTCTCTCATCACAAGGTCCAAGCACAGCACCTGAAAATGTGGAACATGTTTAGTTGCAACATAATGTGGCAAAGTGATATAACAACACATAACTTTCTATTAATGCCTCAAACCACTCGATCCATCACCATGTGATACAAACCTTGGCACTGCACTAGCTCGAGACACTGGAAGACACTCCGTCTGAGAAACTTGGGATAAGGCTTTGGTCATTGGAGTAATTCCATGTAAAAAACAATTGCAAATGTGCATTTGTTTTGCACATGGACAAATGAGCCCTGAAAGCTACTTACCCTGTATTACTCTACACATGTTGCATTTCCGAGGGGGCATTTTCCCCTTGTTGCTTTTTTCCCTCATCTTGAGTGAGTTGCTGAACAATCTGAGAAAAATATAGATGTTTTCAAAGAGAATACACCAAATAATGGTTTATTCTAAAAACAACATAATAATACAGAAGAACAATCAATGTGTGAGAGTGTGATTCTTACCTTTGAACACCTTCAACACAGTCTGACACCTGTAAGACTGAAACACACATGACACATTAGGAATACACACAGAACATTAGTTATTGCAACAATCATGAAATTATACTCTATGGATTTCACAATAATTGACTGCATTAGCAAAGGTAAATGTATTTTAATTAACATATGGCTGGTTTTAAAGTTTATAAGAAAAAGTAAGAAATTGAATAGAGTTGCAAGCGCTAGTTAGCTTGCTACCAGCAGATGAATGGATATTTAATATTTGCAGCTAACAATAACAAAAATAACAACTGTAGTGGCTCATTTAAACAGCCACAGTGAGAAGAAGTGAAAGTCTCTGACATTGAAGACCTGGGAAGACATTAAATCCATTTATTAAACAAAGCAATACATGAACATTAAACTCTCTTTCTGCAGCAGGTAACATCTGTGTGCTCCTATGGTCCCACATGGTCCCACATGGTCCCACATGGTCCCACACCTGAACTCAACTCCAACTGATGACATCACAGGTGTCTAAATGATGGGAGTGTCCCAAATATTAAAGATGATCTCCTTGTTTTTAAACTTAGTTTACTAAGTACTGTTGTCTTTTTGCAGTTTATAAACCATTGTGAAATATACAGTAACTTTACATTTTAGAATTGAATTATTATTTTAAAACTCAAGAATCTTAACCTTTTTTAACACATAGTTTGTTGGACAGTCTAACCTAAGAATTCTAATGTGTTAAAAATAGTTTGAAATATGAAAAACAATATCATATTTTAAACTTTAACTTAAAAACTAAAAAAAGGTGTCTCCCTTTCAGCTGTCTCTCTGGTCTCTCTCTGGTCTCTCTCTGGTCTCTCTCTGGTCTCTCTCTCTGGTCTCTCTCTGGTCTCTCTCTCTGGTCTCTCTGGTCTCTCTGGTCTCTCTCTCTGGTCTCTCTGGTCTCTCTCTCTGGTCTCTCTGGTCTCTCTCTGGTCTCTCTCTGGTCTCTCTTGTCTCTCTCTGGTCTCTGGTCTCTCTCTTGTCTCTCTCTGGTCTCTCTCTGATCTCTCTCTGGTCTCTCTCTGGTCTCTCTCTGGTCTCTCTCTGGTCTCTCTTTCTGGTCTCTCTCTCTGGTCTCTCTCTGATCTCTCTCTGGTCTCTCTCTGGTCTCTCTCTCTGGTCTCTCTCTCTGGTCTCTCTCTGGTCTCTCTCTGGTCTCTCTCTGGTCTCTCTCTCTGGTCTCTCTCTCTGGTCTCTCTCTCTGGTCTCTCTCTCTGGTCTCTCTCTGGTCTCTCTCTCTGGTCTCTCTCTCTGGTCTCTCTCTCTGGTCTCTCTCTGGTCTCTCTCTCTGGTCTCTCTCTCTGGTCTCTCTCTCTGGTCTCTCTGGTCTCTCTCTGGTCTCTCTCTGGTCTCTCTCTGGTCTCTCTCTGGTCTCTCTCTGGTGTCTCTCTCTGGTCTCTCTCTGGGCTCTCTCTCTGGTCTCTCTCTCTGGTCTCTCTCTGGTCTCTCTGGTCTCTCTGGTCTCTCTCTGGTCTCTCTCTGGTCTCTCTCTGGTCTCTCTGGTCTCTCTCTGGTCTCTCTCTGGTCTCTCTCTGGTCTCTCTCTGGTCTCTCTCTCTGGTCTCTCTCTCTGGTCTCTCTCTCTGGTCTCTCTCTCTGGTCTCTCTCTCTGGTCTCTCTCTGGTCTCTCTCTGGTCTCTCTCTGGTCTCTCTCTCTTGTCTCTCTCTCTGGTCTCTCTCTCTGGTCTCTCTCTCTGGTCTCTCTCTGGTCTCTCTCTCTGGTCTCTCTCTGCTCTCTCTCTGGTCTCTCTCTGGTCTCTCTCTTAACATCAAAAACATCAAATATCAGATTTAGTTTCAAATGAGTTCAGTTCGAATCTCATTTAATATTTCAGTTTTTATTTTGTATAAATTGTATGAAATAAACTTTTAGCACAGGTACAAAAGCACTGAGCCGCGTTATACTTTTACTTTCACTTTCAAAGGCTCATAATCTCACCTTTTCCCGCGTGGCCCGGTTCAAACCTCTGCATTGCTGTATATTTTTATATGCTGTTTTTTGACGACTGAATGGAAGGATCTCACCGTTTCCATGGTTACCACTTTGAATATACGTCATTTTAAAACAAAGTCTCCTCCTCCCTCTCTACGATGCAGATTAAAGGGAAATGTCTGGGAGTTTTTGATATATATTTTTACTCCATTTTCTGGCTGATAACCAGGAAAGCCTTGTTCTCATGTTGGGTTTGTGCGACAGGATCCTTGGGTTGTGTTCTTCTTCTAGGATTGTGTTTCTTTCTAAAGATCATTATTGACGGTTCTCTGTACGGCTGCGCTGTTACGAATGTGTCCACAAAGTCCGTATTCTCACTTGGTATAAAGTCATTTTTTTAATAATATTGGGTTGTTTTTGTGGTTTGTGCTGATTGACAAGGGGGCGGGGTCTAGCTATGATGTCACAGATCGGAGAGATTCGACCCGGAGCGTTCTGTGAGGGCCAGAGCAGAACATAGAGTGAAAAGTGATGAGAAAATAGTCTAAAAATGCTGAAATTAGGCAAAACATGTGTCTTAATTTGGGATTAGATCGATTTAAGAGTTTTAAGACTTTTTCAAGTGTGAGTGTGCACAAATGGATGTTTATGTCTGCTTTCAGTTGCATCCGACTATTGTCAGTGATGGGAATCATGCTCCAGTGCTGAAGCAGGGGAACACGCTCACGTGTGTAACCTGTTTTAAACATGGCGGAGAAGCACAAATGCTCACACACGTGCAAACCCATGAAAGGGCATCTGTTTGTCATGGAGGTATGTTTTAACTTCGAATCCAGGTGTTGTGCAATATTGTAAATTTGTTCTTTAAAGTGATTGTCTAGAGTTTGTCAGAAAGAGAGACAGAGAGGTACTTGATTTGAAAAAAAAAAACAACCCAAGATCCCTCCCCCTTCCTTTCTGATTGGTCTACACGCTCTTACCGGAAGTATAGCATGATTTATATAATGTTTGTTTTACATTAGTAGGCCAGAGCGCCACCAGGCTGGCACAGGGACTATTGTAATGAAAGTGTGCATAAAACACTGAACCCCCCTCAAACATAAACATGTCATGGTACATGTTTCCTGGACGTACACTGTACTAAAAACTCTGCATTGCAACATTGTTGATGTACAGAGACCATAAAGTCATAAGTGCAAGTCACTGACAATATATTAAACAGGACACAAAGACTTCCGGCTGGGCCTCGGAGAGATGTAGACGCGTCGTCTGAGCTCTCCTACATTTACCGCAATTTTACCAACAAGACCACATTTTTATATCATCTGCAACCCGTAAAGGCATTGTGAGTCACACTGGGTGAAACGTATTTTTCGTTTTGTGTATTTTTATTGACTTTGTGGACTTTTCAATATGCCAAAACCGCCTAAAGCTAACGAGACTGGAGAAAGTAGCCTAACCTCGGGGAATACCGCTGTACTACAAGCCATTGACGCTCTGAAATCGGAGTTACTTTCTAAAATTGACGACAAAGCAGAAATGCAGAAAAATGAGCTGGCCAAACAAATACGTAGTTTGAGAGACGAGGTGAAGGCGTCTATTGAGCAGGCTAACAACAGAGTTAGCATGGCTAGCTTGGAGGAGGGGACCAACACGTGCTCTGATGGCGTAACGGAGTTGGAGCAACAGGTGGCTGAACTAAAACATCAAATCTTGAGCCTGACAGAGAAAACTGAAGATTTGGAAGCGAGATCCAGAAGAGATAATTTGCGTATTTTTGGGATAAAAGAAGGCCGTGAAGGTGGTGCGAAAGTGAGCACGTTCATTGCTGAACTCCTGCAACATGTCCTGAATCTGGCAACCCCTCCGGTGATTGATAGGGCACACCGCACCAGTCCACAAACAACCAAAGCAGGGCCAAATCAGCCACCCAGAGCATTCGTGGTGAAGTGCCACTACTTTCAGGAAAAAGAAGCAATTCTGAGAAAGGCCGCCTCCGAAAAACTCGTCTCTAAGGATGGGGACACTATCCGAATGTTCCCGGATTTTACGCAAAGTGTAGCACGGCAGAGAGCAGCGTTCGGACCAGCGCGACAGATCCTGAGGCAGTGCGAAGGGGTGAAGTATGGACTTTTGTATCCAGCAAGATTGAAGATCACCACCCCCGACGGCGTGCAGCAGATGTTCTCGGACCCGGTGAAGGCGACAGCGTTTGCCAAGGGACTGATGGCGCCATGACGTATGGATGCATCGTAAAGTACTGTTGACATTAACGAATATTATGGTTCATGCTCCGTTGCTAAGATCGTACGATCTCATTCATGTTTGCACAAACATATCATTAAGATTGTAAGTACTCATGGTTTCTGTTTATTTTTATTGTCATTTTGTCTATTTTTGCAAGGTATTTTTTAAGTCATATTATTCCAAAGATAACGTGAGGATAGTTTTTTGGTAATTATTTTATTTTCTCCTTTGTTTTTATGACTCAGAGTAATATTTAATGGGGAGGGAGGAAGGAAGAGGAGGAAAGGGTAATAAGGGGGAGAAAAAATAAAAAAAATAAAAAAAAAATAAAAACATTTTAATTAGGTGTTATTTTATTATTTTTATTTATTTTACAGTTTTTTTTTTTTTTTTTTCTCATACATTTTGTTTTACTCCCCCCTGGACTGCCACCTTAACGTGGTGGGGGAGTTTGAGTACTCGGATGATCCTGGGAGCTATGCTGTCTGGGGCTTCATGCCCCTGGTAGGGCCTCCCATGGCAGACAGGTCTCAGGTGACGAGTCAGACAAAGAGCAGTCCAGAAGACACCATGGACAGCACCTATACGAGATCAGTGACGTCGCCCGGC